AATTATATATTATATAAAAAAATATATATTATATAAAAAATTATATATTATATAAAATATTATATATTATATAAAATATTATATATTATATAAAATATATATGATATAAAATAATATATAAATATATAACGTAAAAAGCCATGTTATTTTTTGCTAAATAATAAGTTAACAGATGGCGCCTCATATTTGCCACATGATATAGTAAAGCTCGTAAAATACTGCACTTCCAATTTCATGTTGACAATATAACTACTGTATTATAAAACTATTTTATCAATCAATTGTACAAACCTACAATGTTTGTTTGAAATATGTCTGGAATATGTAAAGCTAAATTCAAACGAATCGTTAAAGGATGCTCGCCGTAGCATAGATACCGACCTACCGACAATTGAATCTCTTTATGAAGATCGCAATTAGACATAAAATTACTGTGATAATGAAAGACAGCATTCACCCTTTGCATGAGTTATTTAAATTTAATCATTAAATTAATTTAATTTAGTTATTTAAATTTTATTTTAATTTAAATTGATTAAAGATATCCGTATATCACGTTTAAATATTTTTTATCAATTGTATTTTAACTTTTAACTTGCCTTGTGTTGCCAGAGGAAAACAAATTTCCAGTTGGTCTATTGGACAATATTTTGTGTTATTTGTGAGTTCATGCATATGAGTGCGTTCATGCATATGATGTAGGTCAAACTTACTCATAGGCGTAGGTCCAGGGGGGATGGGGGATATATCCCCCCCAATATCTGACAAGGGGGATGGTCCATTGTATCATCCCCCCCCCCCCAATATTTTGACTACGTATGGGATAAAATGGAGCTTTACACACAAAAGACCGTCACAGATATAATTTGCACTGTCTTATGCGCTTACAAAGATGAAAATTAGCATAATGTATTAATGTTGATAACAAAATTATTTTATCTGGTACCAATCTAAGCTCTTCTGTCATTAGATGTTAGATGTGCTTGCAAAGAGAGCCACATTTCACACTGAAGGGTGTGTACGACATCAGTAATGTTATGCCAATTCCAAGAATGTTTTAAGGTTATATCGGTTGATGAGGAATTTATTGAATAGGCCTAAAATAGCAAATTGCATCAATTTATTTTGCAAAAAACAAGGTTTCCCGCTTCAGAGGGGGCACATCTCCTGTCCGCACAAGGGCACACATTGGCGCTAACACCAGGCGTGTAACAGGGGTCTTGGGTCAGAGTGGGTATTTATTTTTTTAATTTTGTTAATTTTTTATTTCAACCATCTTTAAAGAGGGTACCGTAACCCTTCTAGTTTAGCCCAGTAGGTTAACTGATATTCAGGGGCCCTCTTTAATAAAATTAAAGAACAGTACAAACAACATCATTACAACATAATAATAATAATAATAATAATAATAATAATAATAATAATAATAATATAATAATAATAATAATAATAATAATAAAAATAACAATAATAACAATAATAATAATAATAATAATAATACGACATAGGGCTTATCTTATTGATAATATAGGCCACACGCGTGCGTTTGAAACTAAATATATGCATTTTCATCATGGTTTTATTTATTACAAACATATTTTTTTCACCATCTATACACATTGAGGCCCTTCTTTTAGGTTAAAATGATCTATCTTAAATTTGTCTTTCTTGAGTTTGGGACTATTATGTGTTTAAATAACTTAAAAGGATAAAACTAAAAAAGCCCTAAAAAATGCGCGCCAAGCGCCCAAAATATTTTTGTTTTTAATTCTAATTTCGTCGGAATTGATGAAAACTCCCTAAAATGTGCAATTTATAGAGGAAATTGGCCTACCGTAACAAGAAATGCGCGCAAAGAACTTGAGAATTTTAGGCACTTTCAGAGGATGCATTTGTCAAGGGGTGGGGATAGATTTTCCAAAGATGGATATTTTCCCCTTGTCCCCCGGTGGAATTTCGTTAGAATTGATCAAAACTCCATAAAATGTGCAATTTTTAGAGTAAATTGGGCCATGTTAACAAGAAATGCGCACGAAATTTGAGGTTTTTAGGTACTTTCAGGGGATGAAAGGGCATTTATAAAGGGGTGGGGAAGATATTTCAAAGATATATATTTTCCCCTTGTCCCCCAGTGGTTACGCCATCGGGCAGCATAGATCAAAGGAGTTATGAGAATAATTGAAGTGGAGAAGGGGTTGCAGGGTGTTGTGAGTCTGGTCATTATATCTTCCTTTTTATTCTTGTCTATTTTTCTCTTCTCTTTTTCTTTCCTTTTCTTTTCCTCTTCGTTCTCTTTCCCTCCCTCTCCCCTTTCTTTTTTCTTATTACCCAGCCCGGTACGACGGCTTGGTCAGTCAGGTAAAAACCGTCAGGGGAGGGGAAATTTCCCCCCTGCACACCCCCCCCCCACCGCGCCTGTAACGACACTGGCTAACACGCCAATCATCTCCACCAATGAAAAATATTTTTCTACGCCACTGAACTTACTGGACTAAACGTTTGCTGAAAAACCGGTGTAAACTATGGTATAAAATAAACCATATTTAATTTTCACAAATCATGGTTTGTTAATGAAAAACATGGTTTGTCTTAAATTTACAAACCATAAAAATCCACTCCTGTCCCAGGGGTGGCGCCAGGATTTGCCCAACGGGCAGATCTACCACGAGGGGGCCGATAACCTGACGAGGGGTCAGATTTCCCCGATCAAAGCAATGTTGGCGTGGTCGAGTTTCGAAGGTTTGCTCGACAGTAGTCCAAGAGGCGAACCCCCCAAAAATGTTAACAATTTAGGGGTTTCAAAGGCTTATTTAATCGATTTTCGAGTCTAGTATGTAGAATATACATATAATTGTTTTCTCCCCAACGAATTGTTTTCTTTTTTCCTCCCCGACGGGGGGAGGGGGCAGCACTTCCCGACGGGCGGATGCGTCGCCCCCCCCCCCCCCCCCCCACGCTGGTGCCACTCCTACAGGAGCCTATTGTTAACGCTGCCATTAAGTACTCTACAGGTTGGGGACCAAATGGATCTGCGCAACATCACAGAGCTATTTCGTCACCAGCATACGGACCGTCGGTGACGTAGGCATTAGCAGTACATCTTTAATGTCATTCAACTGAAGGAGATCCGACATAGCTTGCTTTATAGTGTTGTGTAGGTTTTTTTTAGAAATCTACAGACGGCAGTACGCATCATGTTGTGTTTATTATTAAATTCGAAAATAGCATTAAATTTGATTTTTAATCCTTCAGAGAGGCTATTATAATAATAATCAAATAAAAAAATTAAAACAACGATAAATGACAGAAGAAAATACAATCACAGAAAGGCCTTTATTACAAAGTGTTTAATAAGAAATTATAGTTACTTCATAAATACAACTTCGAAGTAATGAGTATACAGTGCCCAGTAACATAAATATTAAAAACTACATGCAATAATAATATGAACCCGAGTTTACCCCCCACCCCACCACCACCACAAAAAACAAAAAAAATATATATTATAATTGCAATAAGTCAAATGTGACGTTAACATATTAACTATACGGTCTATGATGAATTCTACAAGAAAATGGCTCAACCAGCTGATGCTAGGACTCTCAACCTGTGCAGGTTGCTTGTATCCTTGTGCAAGACACTTCATCTGCATTGTCTCTCTCTATACTCAGGTGTATAAATGTGCAACGGCATATACTCTCAAAGCATTGCACAGAAAGAGGGGTGGAGGGATGGCCAATCCGAACCTGCAGGTTCTACTACCCTTACCTTATCGGTTACAAAAAAAATTGGGGTTTGGCCAATAGATCCACAGCTGACAAAATTACAGTACACAGAAAAATCCGCCTGTGTTCCTATTAACACAGGGCGAACAATTTCACTTCCGATACAAACAACGAGGTAATTAGAGTAAAGTGTCTTACCTAACAATTTGTCCACACTATCCGAGAATCATATAAATCAGAGTGGCTAAATTATATAAGTCAAGGATTCTCAGAATAGAAACATAATTCAAGACATAAAAAAATTCTTGATAAAACAAATGTTTATAAATCATGCCTAAAGTTCAAACTTCGATTGAATACGTACGCTATCTCTTGGTTTTAAAACTTCTAAATGGTCTAAAGATATTTCAGGTCTGTGTACGCTTTGTAAACGAGCTAGAAAATAAGTAATATTATTAGTTTTTATTTTGCTAAAGCCAAATATTACCATTGGGTTGTTTGCTGGTGCATTGATATTCGAAGTAAAACATGATAATACACACAATATCTACTAACAATTTAATAAAATAAATGATTTTATTTATTTTTTTTATTTTCAAAATATTTCGATATTACCATTACTGTACCACAGAAGACATGCACGCAAGGTGATAAACTAATAATTGCTTTTATTGGGCATTACACACTCAATTGATAAGCTCTTGAACGTATTACAAAATACAAAATAATAACTGATGATTCTTAAAGCAGACCTAATACACTCTGTGATGATTTTGAAAAATGGGCTTTTTATATAAATTAAAATAATTATGGAAACTACAATTAAACCTTGGTGGAGATCTTGTCCCCATTTTTGGCAACCCTGTCAAAGTGTTTGATAATACTGTGTGAAAGATATGCACGGTGTGCATGGGCAAAACGTTCAGATATAAAACAATATTTTAATGCCCTCTCAAGGGGCACCATTGTGTAAAACAATGTAACTGACGGTTATTTGAATCTGTTCAACCATGAAGCGTCTGTGTTCTATTGGTTAAGACGCTCACCTCGACAGCGAGGTTTCAGTTTCGAATCATGTCGGAGGCATTTAATACACAATATATTTATAGGCCAACATCCCAAACTGCTATGCTACACGATTTTTATATACTTTATTCAAAACAATGTAAT